TGCATGAACACACTGCTCTGAGCTGCTGCAAATGGGAGCATGCAGGACTCAGGCAGAAGAGACTGCCCAAGCAAACCTTCCACTGGAGCTGAGCTACACCTGGCCCCTGTGACTCAGCAGAATTGTGTTTAAGGTGGCTATTTCAGCAGGCTCTGATTGCATTAATCTCCCTGTAACACCAGCACCTCTCTGAGGTGCAACAATGCATCTTGCTGAGAAGTGACCAGATGCATTTACTGAAGGATGAGAAATTCTGTGTGGCCTTCACACAAGACTGCCCAGATCTAACACTCTCATCCTACAATCTTGTTAGAGTCCATGGTCATCAGTGAGTCTGGTAATTGAAAGGCAAAAATAGCCAGAGGGCCCAGAAAGCCAATCCAGTTGAGTGGGACTGCACTGCAGCCAAGCAATCAGGTTACAAGGTTTTGTTTCAAAGCGAGTGCTGCTGCACTGTTAATTGACTCCTGGTGTTAGTACACCACAGTTGGTGAAACAAAACCCTTTAGGTGGAACTATGAAAACCAACTGTTACCCTTTCTCAGCATCCTAAACATTCCTGTACAGGGCTGTCATCCTACAGTCAGCTCAACTGACAACAGGGGATTAGTGTTTAATCATATATGCTATTAATAGATGTAGTATTTGCTCCATACAAATGCAGCCTCAGACAGTGTGGACGATGTTCTTGTTATTCAAGGCTTATTTCTTACCTCCTAATTTTGCTCAGTGTCAACTTGATATGAGGAAACTTCTCTCTRAAGGTTTCATTCATATCCTTTTTAAGGTCTGAGGGTTTCACATACTCTATGACTGTAGTCTGAAACACAAGAAGCAAAAATTATCGTTTGTCTCGTGAACAGGACTGACAAGCAAATGAGTCTTCCAAAAACACTAATGCATTTTTTACTGCTCACAGCTTAACCTTTCTGAAATGTCCTAAAATAACAGACCATGTTGAATCCCAACTACAGACAAAATCTTCAAAAAATAGGAAGCAAATGGTTACAAGAACTAAAAGACAACATGAAGGTGTCAGGTTGGCCCTTGACAAGTTCACTGTACAAACTCAACTGTTTGTATTTTTCCTGATCAATGATCAGAATATCCTCAACTTTTTCTTCCCAGAGGAATTTTTCTTCCTCAAGAAAGCTCTTCATCAAATGATCTTTCAGGGACTCATTCTCTCCTCTGTCCAGGTATGCCAGTCACTCACCATGTAAGAAGCAAAGATGAGAACACGTTTATGTTTCCCACAGGGCCACTGAGGATCATCCAGAAGATTTGGATCATACTCTGCAGCTTCCCCAGCTTCACTTCCTGAGAGAATGAGGAAAGCACAYTGGGTCACAAGATAAAGAGACTTAAATTCTGTTTCTACTTTAAAAAAATGCTCAAGCAACAAACATTAAGTGTTGGCAGATCCCACAGTAGAGGCAAATTGCAGCTACAGGCACATTTGCATCTCATAAATGCACCACTCACAAAATAAAACAATTAAATGAACCACTCAAACTCTTTCTCCACCACACACTTGACACACCATTTTAGATTTAGATAAAACAACTGCACAAGACTGATTCCTTTTGCCTATTGTCTAAAAGACAGCAGAGTTGTCAGGTTTGTTCTTTTATGCAAGAGAAGGGATTCTTGGCACAAACTCTTTGGCTCATGCATTGTTACTGTGCTAGAAGGCAGGAGAACCACCTGGATCCAYGCACACCAGATGTTTCTTGGTGAGTAATACAAAACTTCACATTCCCAAGCAAAAGCTTTGTGCGTCTCGAATGGCATAAACAGAACAAGGCCAGATATATGGAGGATGGAAGGAGTGTGTGGAAATCTCAGTCCTAAGGCTGATYATTTACACAGCACTAATGAGCTGCAGCACCTCCATCCAATAACACACTGACCACCTGCAGTGGTCTCAGACAAATCTGTGCCTTTTCTGCTGTGTGCACAGAGTGATGACAGAGCTGGCTGCTGTCCTTACCAAGGTCTGTCCCTGCTGGTATCGTTTTTGCTGTCACAGGTTTGTATCTTGATCCAGGAAGACTCCGGGGAGCACTGGCTCGACACAGGGGAACAGCACCGTAGGCATCGGCTTTGCGAACAACCAGAGCATTGGTYGGGTACAGGAATTTTGCATAGGACACAACCTTAAAGAGGAGAAAGTTGTAGTAGTTATGGAGAGAAATTTACTGAGAATCCTATTTCCAGATTCTAGGATTTTCCAACWCAGAGTGCCCTAGAGTTTGGCTTAGGGAGTGGGGATCTTGAAACTGTGTGACAGGAAAAAGGGAAAAGTTGGAGGAGGCATGCCTTCTTTCCACAACTTTAAAATKAAATGTTGTAGAAGATCTGGTGGGGTGGCAAAAAAAGGCAAGAATCACATGAGTAAAATTCTRGGATTATATAAATTTAGCTAAGGCAATATAAATTTCACCCATATTTCTATCAAAACTTCACTCACATGTTGTCTCAGATGGCAAAGTCAAATCTATTCTCCAGAAACGGAGGCACAAGTGATCACAAGCTTCAGCAGCCTCCTCAGAAGCAACATTATCACAAGCCACAATTTCAAACTAAGGATCCAGAACTTCCACTGCTCTGAAAAGCCACAGCTCTCACACAATGGATAGCAAAGTATTGTACAAATTAAGTGATTTATCCCAGCATGAGTTGGTCCTGAGGTGAAAAAATTCATGTCCTTACCTTGCCATCAGCACCCAGCTCTACTCCTTCTAGTCCAAGCACCATCTCAGTAGAGACTGAAACTCCYCCAGAAGGATGTCTCTGCTTCTGTCCTTCCATTTTCAGATCACTAAATGCAGGTAAGAAAGAACTCATCACAAAATGCAAGCTCAGCTTCCCACAGTAAACACCAACCAACACCACAGGTCAGAGTTCTCCTGTGTGGAAACAACCCAGCCCCTCAATGCCACCTCCAGGAGAGCATTAGTTTTTAACTTCTCTTTTCAAAATGTAGAGATGTTAATTAACCAAAGAATCAGGTTTCATCTCAGTTCAACACAAATCTCTACCAATATACCTATCAAAAGTAAACTGGTTTTAATACAGTCTTTGCACAAGACCACACCATTCCCAACCCACTAATGCTCAAACACAATTTATATTACTTGYTTTCCAGGATTAGAAACTTGCCTTTCAAGTGCAATTTTCCAACCCCTGTGCACAAAAGCTCAAGTTAAGAAYGAAGCTGCAGATCTCTGTGTCAGCRATGGCAGCACGTGGCTTTGTCACCAATATTCCAATACAAAAAAAACRGCTTTCAGGTGAAGAACTGCCTTGMCAGYTTGCAAGCAGAACAGCACCGTGCTCAGAACTGCTCTGAAATAGCTGCAGTGACCTTGCTGCCTTTCTATTATGTGGGAGAATATTTTCCCATCAACTATTTTTATGGCATGTATTTGCATACAATACAATTCCCACCACTAAGCATCCGTTTCCTTTGTCCATAAGTTACGGACRGGACAGAAGTGACAACACAATTGTTTTGCCAGAACAGAATAAGTGTTTTCTATGGTATACTTGTAGATAACAGACCTTCACAGAATGGACTTAAACTTCACAAGGGACTGAGGAAAGATGCAGGGAAATCTAGTTTGCACGTTTTGTTTTTCATAAGTGATCACACAGACAGTTGTGTATTAAAATGTAGTCCAAACAYTAAAAGCAGTTTGAATCAGTCCAAACTGTTTCTGCTTTTCTTAGATTGCAAACAGTGACATTCATGGCTTAAAGCTGAGAAACAGAAGAGTATCTTAAACTCATTTAGGTGTAAATTCACCTACATAAAGCCTCGAGGATTTCCAGTGAAGGCAGCAGCACCCTTCCCTGAAACTCCCTGGGCTTTTTTCTTGACACTATTGTTTGTGGCTCTAGAGACAGTTGATTTCTGACCACTTCAGGAGTACAGAAAACCTACACAGCAGCAAATCACATTATCTGTTCAAAGTTGATCAGATTTCACAGGACTGGAGTGTTTTAAAATGTGAATAAACACCGGAAGAAGAGTCTATCTTTTCCACTGTTTTTCTCTTGGAGTTTGAATGAACACTCTGACACTGGCAGTGTCTGGTTTTAATGCTGATAGCAAGYTCTTGTCCTTACACATGAATGGCAGATTAAATAGGCTCCAGAACATGAGACCAACACTAACCACACTCATTTCAAAAGATCTTTTGAAACACCAGAGCAGACATTTCACAAAGCAGTTGAGGAGACTCACCTGATCCGTAACCCCTCCCCGTAAGGTAGGATAGAAAACGCCACGCACAGTGTTCGTTTAGCACAGATTAGCACTATCCTGTAAGCAGATGGGGAAAGATCARGATATGAATTAAGATCCAGAAGTCACAAAGCAGCTTTTTATGAGATATTAACACAAGGCTCTTCTTATCTTGCTCTGCAAGTCACATWGATATTGCTGTGGATTTAGGGTTTTCAGAAAGCAGCAGAAGAGCAGAGGTTTCATGCTGACCCTGCAGATTTTGGGGCTCTCTATCAAACCACAGCATTCAGGACCTGCCATCACCTTGGGAGCTCCTCAAAGGAGATCTTACTCTTTAAGCAGATATCTATATTCATGTAATTTTTACATAAACCTTGTGAAAAGATGTAGATAATATTCTACATTTAGAAGGAATCTCACACTTCTATTAATAATAAATATGAATGCAGCCTCCCCTTTGTCTTCTATGAGCCAAGAATTTGGCTAAACCTTAAATCCTCCTCAGCTCTGACCTCTGCATGTGCCAGAGATAAGGAAAGTGAGAGAAACAAGAAAAGTGAGAGAAAGATTTAACCTCTTCAAAGTAGGATGGCAGAATCATCAGTGTATTGCTRCAAATGTAGCAGATAAGAGCACCTACTGCCTTGGATAGAAGTCTGGATAAAACCATCAAGGCCCAAGGGGCATCCCCTAATTCCCACTGATATTAAATATCTTACTGCATGGAACTGCACACAAGTACAAGGGGAACCTGGATCTCCACGAGTTACCTGCTGTTCTTGGTGTCATACTGCCTCATGTTCTTGATGAAATGCATCTTCTTCAAACTTTTGTGTCTTGGAGAACCAGATATGTGCTTGGTTCTGCAACGACAAAAAGAAAAAACAAACAAAACCCAAATCTGTTAAGCGTTCTGAGAAAAATTCATGCCAGTTGTATGATCAGATGGCAGCACTAGCATGCAGGACCTCAGATATTGGCGTGGAAGAGGGTGGAGGGAGGAGAGGACTGCATGCAACGAGCTGAGGTTAATGCTGCTTTTGAAAAMAAGTACCTTCGTACACTGGCATATTCCACTATGTCTTCTAAAAAGTCTAGAGAGCAGCGCTGGGAGATAAAACGCCTTCTGCAAAATGCACAACACCACGAAGAGTGAACAGTATTAGTTCATGGCCTGCGAGTTKATGAACTGCAACAGATCTATGAGCTCTTAGGACACATGGCAGGTTTTCTGGATTTTTTTGTTTTGTTGCAAGAGTGTTTAACTAAGAGTTTAAAATTCCTAAAAAGGCCAAGAACTTGCTTCCCCCTCCTTGACCCTTGAAATACATATTTATACCAACTTCATCAACAAGACCATTCACTATCTACCACACAGAAGAACACCTACCCAAAAGTTAAACACCTAAAAAGCTTCCAAATACTCATTTAAAATCTGACAAGAATGCCACAAAAAGATGCCTCCATGAAGGCARGGGGACAAGTCATTTTATATCATTTTATATTCAGATACAGGTATATCTGCATGATGACCAAACATCTGCCTGCATCCTCCATTCAGAACAGCTSTCTCCAGCTGCAGGAGCCAGCAGTCTGAAAGTCTGTGACTGCAGCTCAACAAAACTGAGAGATCTCTCTGTGAAACAATAGAGAGGGTTATTAGAGGAAGCAAAAAGTATTTGGCACCCATGTGAAGTCTCAGAATGGAAGACGCAAGAATAATAGCAGGACTCATGTGAGTTAGTGTAACAGTAATAGGATATTACGTTCAGGCAAAAAAAAAATAGATTTTGCCAAAGTAAGATACATTACTGTTGTCCAAGTCAAGCCTTTCTTTGCTGGTAGAGATTTACAAATGAGTTGTGCAACTCTGACTGAAATTTCCATAGGAACAATGCACTTGGATTGAACAGGCAGCAGTAAAATGCTGACACTACAACTCTCAGAGTCCATATTTTCTGCTTTTGTTTAAGCATGCATTGTGCTACAATTTTAGCACAAATCATGTTTGTTCAAGTCCAAGGTTTTCTTCCCAAGTGACACAGGAGTTCAACTAATGTGCAATGCTGCCATGAAAGTCAATGAAGAAGCAGCACACGAGACAAAAATTGCAGGACTTTGATTTGACAAGACCAACTTCTGGTAAAAAAATTAAAATCCAACCTGAAACTGCAGCAGAGCAGAGTCTCAGCAGCACTGTTGAGGCACTCTTAAAAGAATGTAAAGCCCAGAACTCAAACAGGTAGGAGGATGAAAAATTAGTGTCCTTTTCAGCAAACACAAGGGAGGCAAACCCTCCCACAGGACTAACACCTTCAGGATTGCTAGAGACTGCCTCCTACAAATCAACAGCCATTAAGGTGCAACAGGAGAACATTCCTGGCACAGCTTCAACACCCTCCACCAGCACTTCAGTTTTAAAATTATTACTGGTTTTCTGCTCTTCAGAAAGAACAGCACAGGAATGTTTAACACTTACAGATATACATGGCTCTCCAGTCTAATCTGGCATCTAAAATTCAGTAAAAAGCCCTTCATGAAATGAGGAGGTGACTGCAAACCTCCTGGATCTAATGAAGTTGGTAACATCCACAGTCTTCCTCCCTTCCCGGGGGAAACCTGGCTGGATGGAGACAGAAAGACGCTGTGCATGGCAAGCAAAGGAAAAACACAGCTAATGCCAGAGGGCAGTGGTACAAAAAAAGCACATAGTTCTGTACAAGGATGCTGGGGTGAGTAACAGGATGGATTGGGAGAGCCATGGCCAGACCCTCACTCCTAACTCCAYGGTAGAGACTCATCCAGGGTGTTACACCTCCTGAATATCCCCTCATTTCCTCAGGAACAGGGACAGGAGTGACAAACACCTGAACCTGCTGCTCTGAGAGCAGATCTAGAAGTAAAACCCTGCTGCAGTGAAGGGAAGATCCCACCCCTTGAGTCAGAACCACAATGACTCATCCCCGCTCTGCCAACAGGAAACTTCATTTTTAGCTACACTTGTAAATAATTTCTGCCCTCAGCGGAGCTGTCACCTTGGAGGAATCCCTGAYGCTGAGCCAGACACTCAAATCTCAAAATGGGGTGTATGTGAACAATTCTCATTAATCCAGAGTACCTGAAACTGAGTGTAGGCCTGAGCCAACATTTTATAGCAATACAGTACCCTCACCAGGTTCAGAGAGTCACTAGGGCAATATTTGGAGAATACAGTAAAATTTAATATACACATATATCTATTTCAATTTTTTTGYCAGAAGTTGGTTTTGTCAAACCAGAGTCCTGCAACTTTTGTCTCATGTGCTGCTTCTTCATTGATTTCCATGGCATATAAACCACTCTTATATAGTGGGTTTAGTTTTAGAGCTCCTCTCATGCAGCCATCTCACACGTGCACAACAGGCTGCACAGGGTCACTCCAGTGACTGCTGACTTAGATGACAAAAAAAATGTCAAGTCACCTATCCCAGGCTAAGCAGCTTCACCTAGGATAACACTTCTTGCAACGGTCCAGGGAATTCAAAGGATTTAAAGTAGTTTACACTGTGTGTTTGTTGCCAAAAGCAACCTAAATGCTAAGAATACCMACATGTCTACATATGCTATGAGTTGACTTATGCATACCCTTACCCATGTGTGACCTGACAATTAGACATTGAAATATCAAACATTAAAATGTTTATGGACTCCATAGAGCTGGCTGTAATTCCAACAGCATCCTAAAGAAAGCTCAAATCTGCCTGTTTGCCAGCACCAGCCATTGCCCTGACAAGCTATAGAAGGTTTGGGTGCTCCCCGACCAGGAGCCCACTTTTGGGTTCTTCCCAGCCTTTTATTTCAGGAGCCAACAAAGGCCAAAGCAGGGCACTCCCAGACCATTAAAAACAACAACTGTTTGCACAGGCAGCACCTCGAGGGGACCCACCAAGAGCARAAACACACACAGCACATGCCCAGAGATAAGGGGCTATCAAGCAGAGGAATTCTGGATTATRCCTTGGCTCCTTATCTTCCATGAGCACACACGGGCTCACACAATCCAACACTGCTGCCAAATCCCTGTGAGCTGAACATGCCCTTAAAGCCCACAAAACCCCCTCGTGTTCAGAAAAAAAACCCAACAAATTCTGTTCAGAGCTACATTTTGACTCCTGCCCGGAGAAGCAATAGCTAACCCACACATTTATCTTTTCTGATGCATCTCCCACTGAGGAAACACAACTTTTGAGTGCTTCCAACTTCAGAGCTGTCCTCTTCTGGTCCTGCCAGAGTCCTGAAACTCAGTGAAGAGGGTGGACCCTGGACAAGAGCAGTGGGATCCCCAGTCCCAAGGGTGACACAGCTCTTAGTGTTCCCAGTAGGACAGGACACAGCTAAGAGCAACCTATGTATAGCACTGGTAATCCCTACGTGTCCTGTCTTATGAATGGAAAGGAGAAAGCTGGTTAAGTCACAGTTCCAGATTAAAGAACACTGACCTTTCTGATGGCTTGCCAAGAGTGTTCTGCCTCTTCCCACCCACACTGGGCTACCTGTAGATACCCAGGATAGCAGGGTAAAGTTTTGGGATGCTGCTGTAGCTGGAAGTGTGCAAGKTGATCATTCTTTAGCAGGTACTGAATGCAAGAGATGCTGACCCTGTGCTGTCCATGTGGCTTCAGGCACAGACAAGCCTCTTCCACCCCTGCTCCCGGGCCACTAAAAATCCTCTAAGGCGCTCCTTTGGACATCATGACCCCAGTCTGCACCCACAATAAACAGCTCTCACAAACCACAAAAATTTTAAACCCTTAAAGTTGGGCCTTCACCCCCAGTATTGAGCCTGACAGCAGCCAGTTCCAAAATCTGTCCCTTCTGAAATCTGMCATTTGGCCACTTTGAAGCTTCTCTCTGTTTTGCCCTTCTGGTTCCCGCATTTCTGCCCCAGCAGGTGAACACCCCAGCTGGCGTCCTGAAGGGTGAAATTGGAAATTTCTAATATCTCACTGGGATTCTCCCCCATCCTTATTAACCCCCGCTCCTCTCAGGAACAGGGCTGAACTCTGAGCCCACCACACAGCCAGAGTTCAACCAGCATTCAGCTGTTTCCACCAACACAGCAACCTGAACTCATCTTACACCATGATCTCTTATCCTCATCACCTCCAGGATCACCAAGCCCTGCAATGTGAGAATTCCAGGATGCTGCCAAAGCTGCACATGGCCAGAGACCTCGCCCAAGGGGCCCATCCGTGTGGATTTGTTTCCGATGGAGCTGCATCCATGGTCCCGCTGATGCTGCATGCACACACAGGAACACACCCCAGGCACTGGGCTAAAATTAGCAGCAGGGCTGATATCCTCTGTTGCTTTTTAGTACTGCTAATAGATGAGTGGAATGGGGGAGGTCAAGGATTTTTAATTACTGTGTAAAATTAGGGCCTAATAGAATTCGGTTTCCTATTTCTCACTTGAGTTTTATTTTAACATGATGTCCCTTTGTAATGTCCTTTACAGGCCTCAGTATAATCACATCTGTCAAGAGGCTGAGTTATTAATATAACAAGGACAAAAAATAATTTATTGGTTTTTGGAAGCACCAGCTTAGAAACAACTGTCAAAGGTAATTTGCACAAGAAATCCAGATCCCAAATCCTGTTTACAACAGGAAGACATACCTGTCAGTTTTGTTTTTCTAAGACATATTTTAAAGATTAAGCTGTATCGTTTTCATTCCTTACAGGCAAGCCAACAAACAAATAGGAACTGTGTTTGGGCTTCACTCGGTAAAATGCACGCATTGGGGGTTTAGGTAAAGCTACTCCTGGTTTTTAAGATTACTTTTTAGCAGCTGCTATTTCTTCTGCAGCCCAGGAGACATCCC